CAGGTCTAGACCGAACTCCTTTATGTAGCCTATATCACTGGAAACAACACACATACACAAAAATACATATTTAAAGATACATATTATAGTTGTTCTGCCGTGGCTGCAGTTATGGCCGTGACAGAAAACTTTTTTTGTGTGTGTAAAAATTTATTTTGGCATGTGTCAGTGTTTCAAACATTGTGGGGATTTTGACAACGGTGAGCCCTTTGGAAATATTACACATGACGAACTACACTGTTGTTTCACTTCATGGTTTAGGGAAATATAATGTTACACAATCTTTTGGATTCTGGTCCCCATTTCCCAAAACCTGACTTTCATGTTTAGCAGTGTTGTGAGAAGCAGCATCCACCAACCAACAGTTGGATGTGAAAAACATGTCATTTAAAAATGTAAAATCTGATTTGGGTTTTTAAAAAGCATTGGCAGTACTGAGAGCAGAGTCTGCATGAATACAGATTTGTGAAACCCTTTTTTTACTTCTCAACTGATTTTAAAAGCCAACAAATTAAGATTAAATCCTGAAAGGTTTATCGAACGTGTTTGAAAGCAGATGAGCTCAGTGGCGCAGTGAGTTAAACACCTGCAGTGTCTGAAGATGAAGAGTTCAGTGGTTCAAACTCTCTTCAGTCCTTTGACTAACACTAAAAGTGTTTTAAAAGCTAACTTCTAGAGGAATTGAATAAAGGCTCTTAGAGAGCAATGGAAATGTAAAGAGGCTACGGTGGTGTGGCAGAGTTGTCAATGATAACCTCTTAAAATGTCTGCAGATCTGGAGAAGCTGGTTTGAATCCCACCCGTCCTCCAAACAAGGTTAGGATATGTCAGGAAGGAAAATGGTGTTATCATGGAGGACTTTACAGAAATATGAATGGTTTTATTTTTAAGCTTTAAAAATAAAATAACATTCTGTACAGAAATATACAGGTTTTTATTGGCACAAAGAAATGGCTTTACACTGTATAATACATGTATACAACCAGATTAAAAAACATAATCAACAGTAATCATTAAAAAATATCTAATTATAGTAGAATCATTTAAACAATTAAATTAACTACTAACTGGCCTCCCATGTGTCTTCATCAGTGTGACAGACAGCTGATTTATCCAGTGAATAGTCCACCTGACAAAGACAGAGACACATAAGTTGACACAACCTTTAAAATGTAAGATTTTAGAAAATATTTGTATATTATATAATAAAAGTTGAGGTGAGAGGATACTTGTCTCTTATAAATATTTATTTTCCGATGAAAGGAAGATTTTTGCAGAAGCAGGTGTAAGAGAAATGACTCATACTGTACCTGTCACTTCAACGCTGGCTCCTGTGATGTATCGAGAGTCATCTGAAGCTAGAAAGGCACAGACATCAGCGACCTCTGGTGGAGGACAAAAAGAAAGACAAGTGTGAGGAAGTCTTGGAAGCAATCCACATCCTGTTCCCTTCATTTTACTGTACAAAAATATATGGGCGTAACGAAATAACATTTCAAAGTGTTTTTTGGTTGGTGTAGGTGTAGCAGATATAATAAAAAATCTTGAGACCCACATACAAAATGTTTTAAATTCTAGTGTTGATAGGAGCTAAGAACATTTCCATTATAAAGATTTATGAAATGAGAAAGAAAGAGAGACTGCAGGGAAAAGAAATCAGAGTGATTATAAACATGCATCTTCACTGACCTGCAGGCTCACCCATTCTTCCCAAAGGCACCAAGGACTTCATCTGAAACACAAAGAGCACGTCACAGCGTTACGGAGGACGACGCTGCTCATTGGAGCGGAAAAAGATTTAATAAAACATTCAGTTCAACAAGATCCCCTCCACCCAACCCAAAAAAACCTTTTCCCACTGATGTCAATATTTAGTGATGCTGAAGGTCTTAGTTTTATCTGCAGCCACTCTAAAACAACAAAGGTTCATTTGTGCTGCTCAAAGATTCATTAACAAACTTGTATTTCTAGAAACAACAAAATGCAGAGTTTACTCAGCAAAACTCTTGTTTTCTGCCTTTTGTTACCGCTCTTTTAGTAGCATTGATATGATATATAAATAAAGGTTATATATACTGTGTCTTTTATTTATAGGAGGTAAAACTAACTGGCTTTCAATATAAAATACAAGCAAAGCATTGGTTTGTGTGTGTGTGTGTGTGTGTGTGTGTGTGTGTGCGTGCGCCATACCTTGTTAATAACCTTCTCTGGAACTTTATCCGTCATCGGCGTC